CTATGCCAGTTCAAGAAGAGAAAGGGAATTTCCCTTTCTTCTGCACTTTCTTGTCCTGTTACAGTCTCAATAGACCAGATGATAAATGGCCAGGTTGGTACGTGTAGATCTTCTTCACTGTCTGCTGATTCAAATGCTAATCTCCCCTGGAAACGCCCTCAATGACTCACCTAGAAATTATGTTTTACCAGCTAGCTGGGCATCCCATGGCCCAGCCAAGTTGACATACATAATTAACCATCACATATGCCAGAGCTGGCAAAGCTGTGGGGAGCTGAGAAGTCTGACGCATTGCTGGTAAGACTAGAAACTTGTACAAGGCTGTCTCAAATGCAGCAATTTAGCATCATCTGAGCGCTAAAGCCTCTTGACTAAATGGTGAAAATTCTGGATATAGATAATTAAGAAATGCATACTCAGCTCCATAAGAGGTCATGGAACTGGATGTTTATCTACATGTTTCTTATGGCAAAGGTGATGCTACTACCCTTCACTGAAAGACAGGAAAGGGCCAGTGAGAAGATACAGTGGGTAAAGGCCTGACTACTTAAGTTTCAGGTTGGAACACACACAATACGAGAGATCCAACTACTGAAAGTTTTCTCCTAACTTCCACAAGTGTGTGGTGGCATGGATGCTTGTGTATGTACACACATTCATGCACACACTACTACTAATAATAATAATAGTAATAATAAATTTAAGTTGTATGCTTAAAAAAAAGAAGACAAGAGGTGGCTGGAGAGATTGCTCAGTGATTAAGAGCTCTTATTGCTCTTCCAGAAGACCCTGGTTCACTTCCCAGCACCCACATCAACGGCACACAACCACCTGTCCCTCCAGCTGCAGGGGATCAAATGCTTTCTGGCCTCAGCAACTACCTACATGTACATAGTACACATAGACCTAAGTATGCATACACAAAGATAAAAACAAATTTTTTTAAAATAAGAAAAATAAAAAGTAGTAAAATTTCTTATGTGTTAAATAAAAAAACCTGGGAAATGACAAAAAATGTAAAAATATATTTATATATTAAAGCATGTAGGTGTAAAATGACATATTTTACAATCCCACTTGCACATATACATAGATCAAGCATATTAAGGAGGGCTGTTCAGAAGCATGTGTAGAGGTACATACCCGTAACCTAGCACTCAGGAGGCAGAGGCAGGAGGACCAGGAGTTTAGTGCCAGTCTTGGCTACATAGCATGTTAGTGCCAAAAATAAAATCCTTGATAAAGCTGCTATTAAGGACTCAGGAAAGGATATTAAAATGAATATATATAATATATAACACAATATATAGTATATATGATATATAAAATAAATAAAGAGAGAAATGTTGTACAGCTGGTAATAACAATTTGCCTTAAGCTGACAAGTATGTTTAATTCAGCTTTCCCCACCCAAGAGTTCCATTCTTAAAAGAATATGTCTGTGTGTTAGATGTATATGTCTATGTGTCTATAATACACGTATCTATAATGTATCAAAGTATCTTTTAAAAGTATAAAATAATAGTGATTATGGCTAAGGATGGGAATAAAGGTGAGTCTTTGCTGTGTTTCATAAATACTATGTAATAAGTCAAATACTTCCTACTGTTAGATAAACGTATAATGGTCTACTAAAATCAGCTGCCTGTGTGGCCACAGTCATTTTATTGTTTTTCCAGACTGTTCCAAAATAGCTCTGGAACAAGACCAGTGGGACCACCAGATATCTATCTAGCCTCACCCTTCTTCCCATGCAAATGAAGATGAAGTCTCCAATCCAGCTTTGACAAAACCCTTGCTGGAACTCAGGATAACAAGGCCTCCTGCTCCTCTGCTGGGAAAAGGAGGGGCAGCCTGTGCAGCTCCCTCAGAGTCTCAGAACCTCCCCTCAAAAGCTGCCTTGAACAGCAGATTCCAAAACAAAAGGTCCCACCTCAAGGGTGGAAACGCTGTTTGCTGTTTTGTAGACACAGGTGTTCTTCTCGGCCACTGGAGAACTACAGTGCAGGACTGCACATGGCCAGGAATAGCTCAGAAGGCCCTTCTCTCAGAAGCCAGCTCCAGAGGCCATTCAGTGTATGTTCTAACTATATTTGGCAATGCAAACCAGAGAGGTCAGTGGCTTAGCTCAGGATGGGAAAGGGCTATTCCTCATTTATAATTCCTGCTTCAAACTGAGACCAAGAATGTAAAAGTCACTTCGTTTCTTCTGCCTGTGTTCAGCTCACTGCTGCAGTGACTCTCCTTCCCCAGTCTACTGGCCTCCACGGGAAGCTCTCAGAACCTCAGGTGTAAATCACCTACCCAAGCCGTCCTTGCAGTTGGAGGACATTTGAGGACATCTGGTCTGAGAGTCTAAAGGTTAAAATGATCTCACTTTGCTTAAGTCTTTGTAGCATCAAAATAGCCTGCAGCACTTGGGTACAAATCCAGGCTCCCTCACTGACTACTCACTGTGTGACCTTGCCTAGGTTACTTTCTGTCTCTGAAGTTCAGCTTCCTTATCTACAAATAGAGATAATAACACCTACTTCACAAAGCCACCATAAGAACTCTGTGAGATAAGGTGTATAAACTGGCTAGGAGAATGTCTGACACCAAGTGAGTCCTAAAAAAAGAATCAGTGTCCATCCCACCCACCCCAAGGCCCCTTTCTACTCTTAGCTACTGGGCAACATGTTGGTGCTGAATTTTCAAGAAATTGTCTGGTAGCCTTGGTTGATTACAAATGGACAATACCATCCCCATAGCCAGTAACAGTAGCGACAGATAAAAACTGTGACTACTTCTCAGCTGTGGACAGGTTCAAATCAGCTCACAAATGACTCAACGCCATTGATAAATGATGTGTTCTTGGCATGAGGAGGCCCTATCCTGATAACCTTCAACACCTTATGAAAAAAAAAAAATCGAGAAGGCTAGTTACACAGCTCCCAGAGAAGAGCCCAAAGCTTCATGCTGACCTTTAGTTAATCCCAAATGCTGTACCAGGCTGGTCATAAGAGGGTCTCTGTTTGCTCAGAAATGTCTCGAGTCACAGGTTTAGCCATGGGAAAGGCTCCAGCTGAGCAGCTGTCTGGTTGCTCTCAGGGCTGAACCACCATAGTTACACTTGCCTTAAATTCCCTGAGTCATAAGACTTCCTCAGATGAAGGCTAGATGCCTGTTCCCTGCTCCCAGCTGCCCCTAAGCCAGTGCCCAACCTGTCTTTGGCAGCTTTGTCTGGCAGATTGAAGTACTGCCAGAGTGAGGTTTTGGCTGGAGGGGTTGTGGCTTACAGGACAAACCTTGGCTTAAAGAAAGAAAACCAGTGAATGGCTTGAGCCAGTGTCTATGAGGCCACCGTGGTCTCTGCTCTCAGCAGTTTCCATAGCCCCTTCAGACCACCCTAAACCCACTGACGCAGAAATTGGAGTTTCTAGTCATTTCCTCACTCATATATGCCCTGTGCAGCTTCAGAGCCTGGCACAGGTCCAAGTGAATACTTAGCAAGAAGTCCTTGGGGCCAGAATGGTCTGTTGATGCATTTATGACCCCTTGGTTCTGGAAGTCTCGTGAAATTGTTAAGATCAAATAGGACAGGGAAGTGGATGGGACTGATACTGGTAACAGCCAGATGCCAGCAACTGAGGCTTTGTGAGGGGAGCTCTATGTGCCACTGGCTGCTTTTTTCTGAAGCAGAAGCTGTCTCTAATCAGGCTGTGCTTGGATTCAGACTCAGGACCAGTGCTTTCCATTGTGTATATAGGCTTCTGGAAGGGGAAAAAACAACAACAGCAACAACAACAACAAAAAAAAAAAAAAAAAAAGGAAAATCAAAAACATCTGGCCCCATAGCTGGGGCACTGTAATGCCATCCCCAAACAGGTCCATCCTCCAAACAGCTTCCAGAGAACCTAAACCAGCTAGAGGTACAGGCATTTCAGCATGTCCAAAGGTCCAGCAAAACTTTCAGGAAAGCACAATAACTGATCTTCAGGGATTGGCTGAGCAATCAGCCACCTCCTAGGTAGGCAGGCATATGGCACCACTAGCCTCACTTTCTAATAGTCCCTGTGCTTGGGTCTTCAAATTTAGGATCCAGCGCTCCTCACAGCATCCGGAGGTGATAGAAAGCAAGGAGGAAGGAAAAAGGGAGAGAAAGCCAGAGAGAAGTGGAAGGAGCATGAAAAAAGCTTGGGAAAGAGGAAGGAAGAGGAGAGCTGGAAGGGGAGAGGAACAATGAAGGTCTGAGGCCCTCAGAGGCGCACGGTTCCGGCTGCACGTCCGCCAGCCTCCGGCCACCAGCTGCTCGCTGCACAGCGTGTGGGCGCTGAGTCACTGTCCCAACACTGGGAGCCCTCGCTCAGGTCGGGGGAGCCCGGTTGGCATCTGCAAACTGCTTTTTTTTTCTTCTTCTTTCCTCTTTCATTAAGGCTGTGTGCTGACTCCCACGTAGGAGAACTTATTAAACCGCACGTACTACTCCAAAACTCTTGGGAACCACGCATGATGACCAGCAGGGGGCGCCACAGCCCCACTTATTGACGCTAGGGCCCAGTGAAGACTTGGGGCTACTAACAGGTTTCCCAAAGACGTGAGAACATTTTGTAGGGGTAAGCTTTTTACTTTAAGTCCCGCAGCTACAGCATAAACTCTCTACTTAGAAAGCCTTGAAGATCACCATAAGTATCCAAACAGCGCCTTAGCGCAGGTTGTGTGAGCAACCCCATAAAATCGGGAGTGTATTGCGCAACCAAGGGAGCCCAGTCTCCTCTAACAACTAGGGTTCTTCCTATCCAACCCGGTCTGGCGGCCACGCGAAGCGGCGAACTCCGGTGTCTCCGAGAAATCTTGACTCCCATCCAGGACACGCGCTCTGTGCACCCATATGAACAACGGAGCTCGTGACAGATAAGCCCGTGCATAGAGAAATTCCCAAAACAAGAGGCAAGATCCCAACACTCCCAGGCGATCCAAACCAAGACAATCTTTCCCTAGATGCATGAACCGAGAATGAATCAGCATTGAGACAGTTTATTGGTTTGCTTTTTCTCAGATCACATATTTTATGTAAATAGATACGGAGACACAATGTTTTTTCTTCTTCCACAGGCGGTAATCAGGCGCTCTCCACCTTACACACACACACACACACACACACACACACACACACACACACACACACACGGAACCAAACCTTACACCTCGCTGAGACATTCACGTCTTAAAATAGGGGAAGGTGACAATATAATCACTTTAAAATGCCCTTAATACAATATATAACGTACAAAAATATCTCTATATATTTGAAATTACAAAACAAAAAACAAAAAACTCTTGACAGCAACAAACTTAAATATGATAGTTACCTTTGGCTGTACAAGCATTGCACGTTTCCTCGCTAGGTTTTGGAAAGTTCAAGTAGTAATGAGGCTTATGCCCCGTGAGAAACCAGTTTGTGAGCGGGCAAGGCAGTGGCTCAGACCCCTGCCCGGAGGGTGATGCCTGTAATTATGTTTCTGTCGTGAGCCTGGCTTGATCTTGGATTCCTCTGCCTCCCCTAGGGGCAGCCAGGCAGATCTCTGCAGGATTGTCTCAGTCCGCCCTGGGTGAGAAGCTCTGATTCCGCAGGCGCCAACGGACACTCGCCCGACTGTTCAATGCTGCCACCGCACCTAAATCCTAAAGAGCCTGGAGATGATTCGGTTGTGCCTGGGAGGCTGCGTGTGTTTGCTCCTGGGAGGACACCACAGTCCGGGCCCGGAGGACCTCTGGCAGGGAACGCCGGCGCCGGCGGCCGTAGCCTTGAGGGCTGATCTTGTTCCTGGGGGCGACGCCGTCCTTGTCTTTGTCTGTGAACTGGTAGATCTGATGGGCCAATTTCTGCACTGTACACGTCCCAAAGCGGCATCCGGCGCTGCGGGAGCCCTGGTTCATGCTCTGGCGGTAACGTTTGACTCGAATGTGGGCTACATTCTGAGTACTGCGGAGAAGGAAAGATACTTGAGACCTCATCAACCCACCGGAGCTGCGGTCCAGCCCTGACAATTCCCAGGGCCAGGGCAATAGAGAGGGCACATCCTCTGTGGAGGACGTAGTTACCTGGCTTGTGGGGTGCTAGATGTGCTCTGCTTGTCCTGGATCAGATCAAGAGTATGTGTAGGGACTGTCTTCTCATCAGCGAGCCCCGTGGGGTAGCTGCTGGATGCTTGCAGTTCCCTCTTCTCATGACTTAGCGCCCATTTATTCCACCTAGAAAACACAAGTAGATGCGTTTGGCCTATGTTCAAGAAGTGTCCCAGCCAGCTCCTGTATCCACTCCCTTCTAACGCTTCTGGACCATCCATCAATTTTCCATTACTGTCAGCTATTAGGATTGAAGAAAGTACTGCCCCAAACTCACTTCTTTCGGAACTGCGAGGATGCGTCTAGCCGTGCGGTGTCGGCGCCTAGGAAGGCGAGTGAACACAGGAACATCAGGGTGACGGTAACCAGCTTCATTCTGCGATGCTCAGTTACCCTGGAAAGGAGCAAGGAGCCTAGTGTGAGCAATGAGGCCAGCTGCAGAGTCCCGGTGGAGCACAGTCCCTGTGGGGCGGCGTGGGGACGGGGGGGGGGGGCTTGGCGGCATTGTACTTGGCCCAGCTGCTTATCTCCCCCTGGCACAGAGAGGCGCCAGAGGCTTTTGCACTGGCTGGGTGGGTGACAAGCAAGGCAAAGAAGCCACTGCACAGCGCCAGGCTTCCAGAGGTTTCCAACTCAACTGCTAGGATCATAGCCCAACGAGGAAAGATCTCAGGAGAACTCCAGCCGTGTGCATGAGGTAGGCATGGGGCATGAGTGGGTACCCCAGTGTGGTCCGTTCCCCTTGTCCGGTGCTACAAGATTTTGGCCTTCAGCAAAGCCGCCCCCCTCCCCAACACGCTGGAGGCCAGCGATCCTCACCTGCTGAAGGAGTGATTCTTCAAGCACTTGAAGGAGAAAGTCCGAGAGGTCCTTCTGAAAGTGGCAAAACCCCAAAGTCCAACAATGACTGGGATGAGAAGCCAGGAGCGGTAAAGCTGAAGCTGTTCTGCCTAGCGTCAACAAGAAACCACTGAATATCCAGCTCCGGCTCCAGCACTTTATACTCGCTCGGGGGGGCGGGGCCTGATCTGCCCTGGAGCCCTCCCTTTCCTCCAGAGCGCTTGCTTCTAGGATATGATCTGCCCCGCAGCTTGCTTCTAAGATCTGAACTGCCCCGCAGCTTGCCTGTGGGTACTGGGACAGAGGTAGAGGTCTTTTGTGGCCAGGGGTCTCAGAGATCAGCTCTGGAAGATTACACTGGTAAAGGACTTCCGTTGCCCTAATTTCTCGGCGTAGGGTTCAGACAGTGAGAAGGAAAAGAAGGCCAGAACAGCTTGGGGTGGGGGGTCCTTTTCCCAGAACCTGTACAGCTCAGAGTGCTGATCTGATCTTTTTGGATAGAGCTCTAAGAACCAGGGGACGGGTGGGACACAAGGCTAATCTAATCCTGGATTTGGGGAGCTGTGACCTCAAATGGGCGCGCCCCCTGCCGGCTTATCATCTGACTGAGCCTCGACCCCCCCCCCACACACACACTTCTACCCACAGGGTACCCCCGGAAGGGTGAGGCTCACACCCCGAGACAGAGACTGAGACTGAAGGGTATCTCAATGAGCTAGCTAGAAAGATTTCGTAATAAGGGCAAAGCTGGGAACAGCTGAATTGAAAATTGGGGTTTGGAGAGAGTAGTTATCTGAAGATTCAGAACTCACATTCCAATTTGGAAATACAGGGATAGTAAAAAATAGGAAGAAAGTTTGTTTTGCTCCTTGTAATACTGTTATGCCTTATAAGGCTATAACCTGCGAGTTGGCCTGGCTGCCTTCATTCCCCCATTGTAAACGTGAAGAGTGACTGACGCGGAGCACACTAATGCTTCACCTATGTTAATCGCTTTACCGTTGGCAAATCCTAACCTCTTTTGATCTTTACACACACTCCTGAGCTGGGGTTTTCGTGTATTAAAGTTAAGTTCAGAGAAGGGAAGTATATTGCCCAGTCACACTAGTCACACTAAAGTTGGGAAGCTATAGAGTCTGATCTCAAAAGATGGGGGTGCCGGGGCCTGAATTCTTCGGACTGGGGAGTTCAACATTCTTGTCAAGGGGGAGAGGAGAATTCCGGCCCCCGCCCAGAGATATGTGCTAATTCACGGTGAATCAGTTCGAACACGTTTGGCTCTTTACAGATTCCTGAGTTCACTTACTTCCCTTCTAGGGTCAAACTGAGCAATTAGGTGCAGCGTCGCAGCCAGTTCTCCTGTGTCAATCCACCACCTTCCTGGAAGGTCCCGAAGCTAAAGACCTTGTCTACCCCCCCAGCTCCTCCTAGTCCTCCCCCCCAATGATTTGGATACAGACAAGTCATGTGCTCTTTCTAGCGTCCGGGCAGATCTCCAAGCTTCCTACCTGATCTGCCATTAAGTGAGACCCAGCGCAAAGTTGGCTAGGCACTGTGTCCCGCGGACCTTGCTCACTGCAAGGTCTCGGCTGAGCGCTGCTGGCTCAACCCACTTGTCACTCCCCAGACTGAACAGCGGACATTGCACCTGGATGAGAAACGGCCTCACTGAGGTTACTTATTCTGGGGAATCTTCCTAGAACGGAAGATCTGAGTTCCACCTGGGGCGAGGGACAGGTTCCAGGCTCTGCCTCTGGTAGGGGCTTAGGACACGAATGTTGAAAGGGTTGCATGCAGCTAGGCATGCTTTAGGGCCTTCTGGACAGTCACCGCACCAGCCCCAGCCAGGCTGTGGTGTGTCTGCACCACCGACCCCAGGTAGCACACAGCCTGCGGGGCTCCCAGGAATCCAGAACTTCACTATAGTTTTTTTTTTTTTTTTTTTTTTTTTCCGCTTCTGTCCTTTCCCCTGCCCTTTCTTTCACTTCATCCCGGGACTGTCCGCGCAGCGGCTGTCAGTCTCTCTGAGGATGCGACCTACCTGTCGCCAACTTCCCGCTGGGCCCGGGCCACATCAGGTTTTACTTTCATTTCCCTGGCCCGAGCCTTGGTCTGCCCAGGAGGTCAAGGACAGCCGCGCCTTGGCTCACAGCCAAGGCAAGTCTCCTGAGCTGGACTCCTTTTCTCCAGTCCCTACCAGACTTGAGGGGGGCTGTCTGCAGAGAATCCTGCTGGGCTGGTTCTCATTGCCTCCTTGCTTCGTATTTGAGGAAAGCCGGTGACCCGAGGTTCCCTCTGGCTTGGGACATGATCGCCAAGTATGCTCGTGGCCGAAATGTGTTGTTATTTGAATAGGATCCCCTGTATTCCGTTTGGCCTGTGAAACTAAGTAGCCCAAGATGACCTTGAACTTCTGATCTTTCTGCTCCAGTTCTTATCAACTGAGCTACACCTAGAACCTCCGCACCCCCCCCCCTTCACTTCTTTTTGAACCACAGGTGGTTTCAACAACCAGCGAACCCGAGGGTGAAAGAAGGGATTCCATGCTTGACTCCACCGAGGTCCTGTATCTGCGCCCTTGTGTTGGCCTTGTGCCAGGAATCCCCACCTGAGCGCCTTGGCACGCGCCTTATCAGCCTGGGTGCTCTTCGCTGCACTGGCACTTAGGAGATTGTTGCCTGGCCAATTCTTTTTTTAGGCGAGGTCCCAGACTGGCAACTCAGAGGATTTTGTTAGAAAATCTTAGAAAGCGTCTGCATGATTGTGGTTTGCGTGGGTGGGCAGCCTCTGCCAACGTGTGCCCCAAAGTGCTAAAGGGTGTAAGTGGGAAGTAGATGAGGAATTCACCACGTCTGGGCATCTACTTCTTCCTTCCATTCTAATGAAAATGAGTTGCTTTACTTAATCACAAGTACGGGGGTGGGGGGGGCTGGTTGTGGGGAGCGGTCACTAGAATGAATTTTTAGTTCAAGGTCTAAAGAAGTAAGGAGGCAGGGTACTTGTGGCCACTTGTTCACAGAATTGCACCCATTCAAGTGCAATGCTTGTAAATCCACATTGAACAAGGAAGGAAGGAAGTGAAGGAAGAAACATGTTTAAAATCTTCCTGGCAAGAAAACAGAAAGAAAAAAAAAAATCCTGGTTAATGAAGATCTACTGTGTGTGTGTGTGTTTGTGTGCCCTAGAGTTTTTAAATTGTGTTGATGTGTACATTCTGTCACCATACACATACATATACATTCATATATACATATATGTATATACATTTATACATACGTATGTATATTATACATATACTCTAAAAACTTGCTGTATAATGGTGTTTCAATGTCTTCCTCACAATTATTTTTAGGCCCTAAATCTCAACCTAATTTTTAGCAATTTTTGGTGGTTTTATTTTTTAGTTAACAGTGTATACACAGTCCCTAACATTAGGGTCATCATACTCAGGTCTTTAGAAAAGCAATGAGAAACAATAAATAGTACTAACAATATTAGTAACTAAAATGAAAGCAACTGTGTGCTTTGTGCAATGATCTCAGATGCCTCTTTTCAGACAGGAAATTTTACGATGCATTTTTATTCACAAAGCACAAAATGCCTGTTAAGCTCAGGGATTGTTTACAACATTCTCTTGAAAACAAGGTTCAAGATGCATCCTGAAGTCATAACATCAAGTGGTTTACAGAGAGGACACAATTGGCTTCTCGGATTTGGTCTCCTGGGGATAAGTAGGGCAGGATGCAAAGCTCAGAGCATCTTCCGGGGATCTGACTTCTCACAAGGACTAATGAAAATAGACATTCTTCCTAGAAAATGAACACACACACAAAACCAGCTCAGTATGAAGTAGGAGATGGACCCGGTTAAAAACTGGCACCAAATAAACAGCTGTTTCTGCATCTGTGATTTCTATCTTGTTTGGAATGGCAGAAACAGGAAGACTGTTAACCCCTGGCTTTGGGGCAGAGAATGTGCATAAAGAAAAATAATGCTGGAGCTGGAGAGATGGCTCAGAGGTTAAGAGCACTGACTGTTCTTCCAGAAGTCCTGAGTTCAATTCCCAGCAACCACACTGTGGCTCATAACCATCTGTAATGAGATCTGGTACCCTCTTCTGGAGTGCAGGCATACATGAAGACAGAAAGAACACTATATACATGATAAATAAAAAATCTTAAAAAAATAATACTTTTGAATTACTCCTCTTCTTCCTTCTTCCTCTTCCTTTACTTCATGTGTATGAAGCAACTGTTCTATGATAGAGCTGCAGTCTTATCCCCTGCACAAAACAGGCATATATAGACAGTCTTTGCACATGCTAGAGCCCGATGGCAAACCTCACTAAAGCTTAAAGAAAGTAACTTGTTAAGGGATAAATGAAGAGAACACAGAGAAGGCAACCGGTACAGAAAAGGCTCTTCTAACAGCAGTAACAGAGCGAGATAAAAAGACATTAGGAGTCATTTATTACAGATGGCACAGACTGGCATTAACAAATAAAATGAGAGTACCCACCATGTTCCTGTCCTCTGGATGGGAATTCT